AAAAGAATGAAAACCCTCAAACTTCAATATGGGTTAAAACTCCCAAATCACACAACTTAAGAAGAAATCCTTACCTTAGGAAGCCTTAGGTTGCTTTTCTACCCCAAATCCCTTCAAAAATCCCTTGGAAATCCTTGATCAAAAGAAAAGAGAAGTTGAGAGGAGAAGAATGAAGAGTCACGTTTGAGAAGAAGAAATGAGGGGTTTCTTTGATTCTAATTCCTTTTAATGAAATATAAACACACTCATTCCCATTTTGCCCTTGTTCTACTTTGGGAATTCCATCCATATCCTTTGATTCATTACAAACTCACCCCTATCTCAACCTATTCTCCATGAAATATCCTTACAATTAACTCCCCACTTTTCCTGCTAATTAGGGGTAGAAAGGTCAAATTGTCCTTAAGGAAGAAAATATCTAAAACTCAATCAACCTTTTATTCGGCCCGTCGCCGCGGCGAAGAAACCTCTGTCGCCGCGGCGAAACTTTCCAGGGAGTTCCCCTTGGTTTCAACACATCTTCGCCGCGGCGAAGCTTCTTCTTCGCCCCGGCGAAGCACGGCAGACTGAACTTCTTCTGTTTTCATCCAATTTTCAGGGCAAACATTCAACAAACAATAACAACAAAAGCCAACTAGAATAAGGGCAAAAGAGGAAACAATAACAACGTACCTCAAGCGGGGCGTTACATCATGGCTGTCATGAAAAACTCAAACGAAGTTCAAGAAGAGGAGAAGGAGAGGTGTGTGTGTTCTCCTCAGTCTGATCTCTCTCCCCCCTTTAAAATATCCAATTCAAATATTTTTAATCTACTAAATCTCCTAAAAATATTCTAATATCCTAAAATAACATTTATCCTAATCTGATTAATTGAAAATAAAATAAAATCCTAATATAAAATAGGAAAGTGGTGTTTCCAGCTGTAACTTGCGTGCACCAGATCTTCAAAACTTCCAATAATAAACGGCCTATTTGACTTGCATGACAAGGCGGAATGTTCTAGAACGTCAGCAGTGCAGGTGCATCAACTTCAAGCCAGATTACAACCTTGATGCAGCGAGTATCTATCCAAACTCAAAACATAAAAGTTGTATATCTCTTTCTTCTAGTTCCATAACATTTTGAATCATCTCAATCGGAGCTCGGATGAGAGAGTTATACCCAGATTACGAAGCGATGTTGAAACTGTCTGAATTCACCTAATTAGTTTCGTTTTGCATTTAACGCCTCCATTTGCATCCTAAATCAAAATAGAATAATAATGAGTACATTTAGGCAAAAAATAAGTATAAAAGACTAGACATTAAGGGGGGTAAATATGACAATTTGTATTCTCATCACATAGCATGCTGTAGAGAGAAAATAGAAAGAGATACTATACGCATTTCAACATGAATTTCCAAGCTATGGAAATTCTACACTTGCATTCTTTAGTAAATGAGAAAATATACATACTTGCATGTTAGCTTAAAAGAAAATTATTAGTCATTTTCTTTTCTTTCTTTCTCATTCTTTGCTAACATATTCTTTCATATTCTCATTTACTAAATCAAGGCTATACATATATATCATGTGCACAATATATGCATGATCAAGCCCATTCTTTAATATGCTTTCCAAATTCACATATACAAACTTGCAAATTTATTATGGCATAATGGTATGTTATGACATATTCTACCATTCTCTACTATCACAGTTGCCATATCAAAGTAACACTTTAACTTGCAATTCTTCTCTAACACTTCCATGTGCATTTCAAGAAGTAGTAAGGTTCAAGTAACTAGAACCAAGCACTGAGGGCCATTTCTCTCATGGAACTAACATGACCAAGTGATATATTAAATTTTGGCATAACAATATGCACTCTTGAATACTAATATTTACACTTGGTTAAGCCCAAACATAATCTTCCTACTTCAATTCTTGCCTTTCTCTAACCCTTTCTTCATTAGGGTTTAGCCAACTCATGCATGCATTTTCTCTTTAGATTTTCATCAAACACTTCATATGCACATACAACTACTAAGTTGGCTACACTTCCACATCTCTCTAATCCCACCAAAATGTCAGCAAAAAACTCACTAACTTTAGTATTAAACCTGGCCATTTTCAACAATTCTCTACACTTCAAAATTTCATCACTAATTCTTCCATAATTCCACCAATTCATCACATACTCATACACTACTTCTCATGGCTGGAAATTATACATCATTAAACATCAAAAAACAGCCAATAATTCTCTCATATCATCATATACAAACATGCAAAAATTCATTCAACATAAGTCTTGCTCAAATCAAGGCTAAAATTAGGTTTTCTTACCTTGAATGTGTGAGATCACTTCTTTTTGCTAAAAACTCTCTTCCTCTTGGACCTAGATCATATAAAAACCATAAGAATTTAAAACTTTAAAGTTTAATCACACTCCTTGTGCTAGAATCTTAGCTTTGGGTGCTTTAGGATTGAAAATCTATGAAAATCTAAGCCAAATCCTATATTTCCCCTTGAAATTTAGTGAAGAAAATTGAGAGAAAATGGGGTAAAGGTGGCGTGAACAAGGGCTGAAGGTATGTTAGGGTTTCTTCAAATGAAGCCTTATATCAAATAATATGAGCATGTATTCCCATTTTGCCCTTGCACTTTCTATGAAATTCCATCTATGTCCTCAAGCACCTGATTGGTTCTCTTAGTTTGGCCATCTGTCTGTGGGTGGTAAGTTGTACTGAATGCTAACCTGGTACCCAAGTTTCTCTGTAGACTAGTCTAGAAACCTGGTAAATAAATAAACCCTTAATATTTAAATGTATATATCAATGTATAAATGTTTTAAATATTGAAAGATTGTTATTAAATGATAAAAATAATAACGACTCAATACCCGAGATATGATTTTATTTCGGAATCATGGACACTAATGATTTAATTAGTGGAAGGGCATTTTGGTAAATAACCCTTCAAGGGATTTTTAGGGCAACCCTATAAAAGGGCACTTTTCCCTAAAAATCAAACATCACTCTCATTTCTCTTCTCTTGGCCGTGGAGAGCATAGGTTCATTGATAGAATTTTTTCTCTCAACCCTGCTCTCACTCATCTTCTTTAGGCTACACAATCGATCTAGTAAATCTCTTGTATTGAATCTTGCCTTTGTGTGGATACCATTGGTTCATTCCTACACTTGGTTCGTGAGCGTTTATCATCCGGATCCTGAAAAAGAGGTGGAGCCTCCAAACGTAGGTAAGATTCTAAATCATTCATGGATCTTGATTGATTTGTAGCATATAAACATCGTTATACTCATATTTGGATTTTAGGGCTTATAGTGTTTAATCGGTAAATTTTTGTATTCTGTTGCGTTTATCTTTGATTAAAACACTAACACATGAAGTGTTGACTGCTTCTGCCTAAAAGTATCTAGGTAAGTCATGTTCACACAACATGGTCCTAGCCATTTCTACCAAAACTCTATTTCTCCTCTTAGCAACTCCGTTTTGTTGAAGAGTGCTAAGTGTAGAAAAATTATGCTCAATGCCATGATCATTGCAATATGATTCAAAATCCGTGTTTTCAAATTATTTTCCATGATCATTCCTAATGCATGCAATTGCACAACCTACTTGGTTTTTCAATTTCCTAATCAAGTGTAAGAATGATTTGAAAGCATCATTTTTTTTGTGTAATAAATAGTGCCCATGTAAAGTGTGAGAAATCATCAATCATCACAAAGCAATAATACTTACCTCCTAGACTAGTTGTCCTTATGGAACCATACAAATCCACATGCAACAGCCTTTTACACATGCATCACAAATATGATCTCTTTTGAAAACAAGTTTAGGCAAACCATTTACTAAATCCTTTTTAGAAAGTGTTGCAATGACATCCATGCTAGCATGACCTAACCTTCTATGTCACAACCAACTATCTTCCTCTTTTGTAAACAAAAGACAAAGTTCTTTGGATGCTATGTCACTTAGGTCAACAATGTACACATTTGAATGTCTATAACCCTTAAATGCAATCCTTATGGATTGAAAAACAATTTTAAAACCTTTATCACTCAATTGACAAATGCACAACAAGTTATGCTTCAATCCATCAACAAGCAACACATCATTTATAGTTAGAGACTTGTTATCGATAGAGTTAATGCTAATGACTCTTCCTTTTGAGTTGTCACAAAACAAACATTTGCTCAATCCTTTGGCTTCAACATTGTGAACAAGCTCTTATCTCTTGTTATGTGTCTTAAGCATCCACTATCAAAGTACCACTTGATTGATCCTTGCTTCTTTGCTTTAAGACATACCTACACAATAAATACCTTTATGCACTTTTTGGCACCCAAATAGCCTTGGGTCCAAGGGAGTTAGGCTTAATCATTCCCTTAGGAATCCAAACCCTTTTTACCACAAAAGGTTTGCCCTTTCTGGACATGTATATGTGCTATGACCAATGTACTTGTAAAAACAACATTTCCTATGAAATGCTTTTGATTTAGTGGAAGATTTATAAGATTTGTTAAAAGGTTTTTCATTTGAAATTTTTTTATAACCCAAACCTTCTTTGTTAAATGCACATCCTTGTAAAGCAAGCATTTCATCAAGTCGTTTACTTCCCAAATTGAATTTTGCTTAAAATTCCCTTTGTCTTTTCAAGTTAATTTTTTAAACCAATGTCTCCTTTTGAGTTTTTCACAAGATACTTTCAAAGCATCAATTTCTTTAATCAAAGAATTTTTCTCAATTGAAACACACTCAAAATCCTTTTGAGCTTTTCATGATCACTCAAGAGTTTTTCATGCTCATTTTTCAAAATGCATGCTTGTTTCTTTGAAAAACTGTTTATTGAAGAAATCTTTTCAAACTCTTCCATTAATGACTCAAATGCACATATCAATTCATCAAAAGTGTAGTGCTCATATTCATTTACCTCATATTCTGAGTCCTCGTTCGAATCACTCTCCTTCACCATAAGACAAAGGTTGACTTACTCCTCATTTGAATCGCTTTTCACTAGAGTCATCATTGCCAATCCATGTGGCAGCAAGAACCTTCTTTTTATATTGCTTATCCTTTTTGTCCTTCTTTTTCCATTTGATTTGAGGACAATCTTGTCGAATATGGCCCAGTTTCTTGCATTCATGGCAAATTATCTCTGATTTTCCCTTATCTTCATCATTTCTTGCTTTGAACTTTTGGAAGCTCCTTCCTTTGAACCTTTTGTTTCTTGCAAGAAATTTGGTGAATCTTTTAGCCAAGAAATTGGTTTCATCTTCTTCCATAGAGGAATCATCTTCCTCTTCTTCATTGATTGTCTTGAGGGCAATTTCCCTCTTTGGTTTGCTTTCTTCTTCCTTTGGTGTTCTCTTCATCTCAAAAGTTAGCAAACTTCCAATTAACTCATCCATTTGCTCTTGATGATATCCTTTGATTCTTTTATGTCTGTGACCTTCATTGTCCAGCTCTTTGGCAATGATCGTAGCACTTTCTTTACCAACTCAAGTGTCTCAAATCTCTTTCCAAGACCTTTGAGACTGTTCACCAAGTTTGAGAACCTTTTATAGATGCGGTGATGCTTTCTTCAGTTTTTATCTCAAATAATTCGTACTCTCGGAATAGTGATGAACAATTTTAATCCTCGCAAGTATACGAATCACAACTATAATATAGTGTCCACAAGCAAGGGTCGATCCCACAGAGATTTGTAAGCACTCAATTAATCCTAATAAGCTATGCCTTAATCAAAACAAATAAATTCAAGCTAATTAAAGAACTATTGATTAAAACTAAGTGTAAAAAGAAACTAAAAATTAACTACTACTGACTGAGCCAAAATAACAGCAATAAAAACTAATTTAAGAACCAATGAACTACAACCTATGTATCCAATTTCACCATAATAATCCAGTTTTATGCCAACTATCAAACTATTGTTATCACAATCCAATTTCTAGGGTTCGCACTCACATAGTTAAGGTATTATCGTAACGTGTTTGGGATTAACCTAGTATCTTTAACACGAGACTAGCTAGGGCATATAGTCTAGCCTAATGATTAAAAACCCATTAAACACAAGAGCACTCAAAATCATGAATAAAGGTGCATCTATCAAGGCATATGCACAGATACTAATCATTCAAGAAATCATGAACCAATTAGCATTCTGTCAGGGCGTATGCACAAAATACTAATCATTCATTCACACGAGCTATTCAAGATTAACTAGGGTGTGTACTCTAACCTTGTCTCACACAGTCAATTAATTAACATTAAAGGTGATCAAGCAATAACATCAACTAAAGATTGAATAAAGGATAATGAATAAAACTAGAATTGTAATGGATTGATAAGACAAATAGAATTAATAAAGACATAAAACCTTCTAATTAGGCTACATTAGATCCCTAGAAAAGTATTTAGTTGCACATGAGCATAAGGAAATCAAACCTCTAAATCTTGAAAACCATTAAGTACAAGAAGAAGAAGATGAAACCCTAGGTAAGATCTCCTCTCCTTGCCTCTTCCTAATTTTATTTGATATCATAAACCCTAGCTCCCTAAAATATTGCTAAGGACATCTATTTATAATATTAAAGTTGTGAGGGTATTATGGCAAAAAGTTATACTTCAATTAAAAACGCATAATAACAAATATGCCCATCTCCAAGCACTAATGTAACTTTGTCTCCATTTTTAACCATATTCCATGTCTAACTAGGCCATGATCAGCAAAAAAATTGTATCTCTATCTCTTATCTTTAAAACGCCACCAGAACTAGGTCAATCAGAGTTGTGTAGCTCAAGTTATGATCATTTTCATGCAGCATGTTCTAGTAGAAAAATTTTCGAACATAAATTTCCCGCATTGCGTCGTGGCATGATTTATTGGCATTGCGGCATGAAGTTTCTGTCCATTTTGCAATTTTATATGTGGCATGGGAATAGTTCTGCTACAGCGTAGGAATAGTTCTGCTCGGCGAACAATCTTAAAAAATCCATAACTTCTTTATTTGAGCTCCGATTCTCAAACTGTTTGTTCCTACACGCTTATGATTCTTTCATCTTCAATGTCCATGTTTGAAAATCTCATTTTTCAGCACCTAAACACTCGAAAATTCTCAAAACATACCCGTGATTCTAGAAACAAAAGAGATACAGATATTAAGTAAAATTAACCAATTAAACCTAATTCCCTCACAAAATACCCTTAAAATAACTAAGTATGAATGCACTTCCAAGCACTCATCGCAACCCCCAACCAACTTCTTGCTAGTCCCTAGCAACCGAAGTGATCTAAAATCTAGTTCTACTAACCTAACCTAAACCATTTCCGTAGGTTGACACGATTGCATTTAGCATATGCAATAAGCCTTTAAACCCCTAGGTCCCCTTTGTGGATGAGTTATAGTCTCGTGAGGATTTATAGTGATGTTACCCACAAACATCCAACAAATCTACTAACACATAAACACTTACACATAAAATAAAAATAAAACAAAATTTTTCCAAACTAATTCATATAAGTGTCTCACAAATCGCATACACACAACATATAGAATAATCAAACTTCACCTCAGATCTAGGAACATCCTAAACATCAATCTCACCTTTGTTCTCAACTCTCTAACATCCATCAATCCACAATCTGTCAATCCTAACACCAAAAATAATTCCATAGGCAACATCTATAGACAAAAAATTGATCCCAATAACTATGAAATATGAGTAAAATTTTGTAAACACAAACTCCATAGGCCTACTTTTCAAACCACTCTCCACTAATATAGAACAATCACATAACTTTAGATCATTAGGACTTTATTGAGCTTGTAATGTTTAGGCTAAGGTATTTGGTTATGAAAGAATGGAAAGGAATCAACAAAATAAGAGGATTAATCTTACTTATTTGCAACAAAATCGCTCAAAGCATATCACATTCTCTCTAAATTTCCCAAGCCTTTGTTACGTCTCTCTTCCTTACCGCATTTGCTTTTACACACTTTCCATAATTATTTGATTCATTCCTTTTTTTTTTTTTTTTTTCTTCCTTTTTTTAAGATTTTTTAGATTTTTTGTTTTTTTGAATGAAACTACTGTTAGGAAGCATGGATATTACAATCTTCCCCTTTTTACCTTGATATTCACAACAAACCACAACCCCCAACGCATTCTTTTGAATACCCTCCAGAATTTTTTTAGGATAACACTCTAACCCACACAGAAACACTCTCACTTTGCATAAATTCAGATTAAATCCTCTTAAAAATCATGGGTAGAGTTGTGTGTTTAAGGGTTAAAAGGGTATGTTATTGTGGGATAAATGAAAGAAAATCAAGGCTAATATAAATTCAATATCGGCACAAAATGGTGACAAGAGATAATAAAATATAGGGTTGGTTGGAAAGGCACAAACAATCCAAAGATGGCCTAAATTATTTCTTCAATCATGTGTTGTCTTGGATTTCGCCTCAAGTGGTCATCAAATAGGTTCTAGAATTTGGGGATCTCAAAAATGTCATAGGAAAATCACACACAAAACATCCCTAAATGCCAAAACTAACCAACCTCACAAACCACATTCTTGAGGGTCTCAAACTTATGCAAAACCAACATTCAGAATTATTCCTAAACTAAAGTAAAATTTGACTTGTTCTAAATGCCCATGTCATTGACATATAAATTAATTCAGAAAAGGTGAAACACACTTAATTAAAAATAACATAAAAACACACCAAATCTAAAAAAAATTCACAAAAATTAAAAAAAAAATCAATTAAGAAATTTTAGGAAAAGAGAACTTCCCGACCCCCAACCTAACGCCTACATTGTCCTCAGTGTAACAATTAGAAAGGAAAAACAGAGAAGGAAAGAGAAAGTTACCCCCTTTTATAGACATCATCAAAACCTATGTGGTGCCACGGTGCCATTTTCATTACGCCGCGACATCAGGTTTCTACCTAAATTGCCTTATGTCTCTTCCTTGCTATGCCACAGCTTAAATATTTTATGTTGTGGCATGAAGCTCTTTTCTTGCAAAGCAACTAAACCATAAAATACAGCAAAATAACCTGAAACAAAACAACGAAAACACTTGGAAAACAAAAGAAAATGAAACCATAAATTAAATTAAAGAAAAAGTTCAAAGAAAAAGCTTGGGTTGCCTCCCAAGAAGCGCTTCATTTAATGTCTAGGTTAGACAGAATACGCAGTCTTTGGTTCAAGGAGGCTTCCTCAACTTAACATTAGACATCTTTGGTATTGTGCTATCTATGGCCTCTAAATATTCCTTTGCTTCTTTATCAACAAATTCATTATCCTCTGCAGCCAAAGCCAACTCTACTTTATCTTTTGTCTCAACCTGCAAAATACTAGAGAAAATAATTGGATCCATAGAATCAACAAGAAAACACTCATTAGGTTTAGAAGGAGAATACAAAGAATTGAAAATTCCACATTTTGATCAAGAACCGTCATTTTGAGTTTTCCATTTTGCACATCAATAATTGTATTTGTTGTGGCCATGAACAGATGTCCAAGCAAAATGGGCAATTCATTGTCGAACTTTGACGGTGTCTCCATATCTAACACCACAAAATCTACAGGAACAATCAATTTATCAATTTGAACTAAAATGTCCTCTACAATACCTCTTGGATATTTTCACTGAAAGGTCAGCTAATTGTAGAGTCATTGTTGTAGGCTTCAGCTCTCCCAATCCCAATTGATGATAAATCGAATAAGGCATCAGGTTGATGCTTGCACCCAAATCCAACATAGCTTGCCTTTCCTTTTTATACCAATAGTAATGCTGATAATAAAACTCTCAGAATCTTTCAGTTTGGGTGGTAATCTACTCTGTAGCACCGCACTAACTGTTTCATGAGGGTCATTCTTACGCTTACATGTGGTCAGCTCTTTGAAAAACTTTGCGTGGGCAGGTAAGTTCCTAATCATGTCAAGCAAGGGTAAGTTCACATTAACTTTAGACTAGATATTATAAATTTCAGAGAATGACTTATCCCATTTTCTTTTCTTCAATCGGCTTGGAAAAGGAATAGGTGGAACATAAGGCTTTGGCGGAGCAACGATGGGACTAATCTCCTCATTTTGAATGGCTACGCTTGGTTGCTTCTCCTTAGCTCTATCTTCCCCTGCATCATCATTTAAATTCACATTAGTCTCAGAATTAATTTCTTTATTAATTACCTTACCATTTCGTAGTACTTGTTAGTAACTGATCAGATTCGCACAACGAAAAAACGTAATATTTAAAACGAATCGATCAATTACACGAACCAAGATCCAAGTACAAATTATAACGTTTTCATGCATAAACTGAAACGTAAAATAAAATTGTATAAAAGCGAATCCATACAAGGATTTAGTTCATACCGATGTTTGGAGGCTC